TCTCTTTTGTTGGACTACATTTAAGGATCATATCAAAACTACAGAAAATCTATGGAGCAATCGGATGGCTCCCTTATGGAGCCATCCATAATTTTATGTACTGACACATGTACAATGTGCATTTATTGTAGGACACGTGTCAATACATCATTTGTGAATAACAATGGATGGTTCCATAAGTCGAGCCATCCGATGGCTTCATAGCAAAACTGATCAAAACTAAGAGATTTAATGTTATTACAAGAAAACACTTCAATTCCAACGAAAAATTCCAACGGCAAAAATTTCTGTTGGAAATTCCAATAAATATTCCAGCAAACTTAATTTTATGTTAGAATAAGTGTTAGATAGTTGAGGAATTCCAACGAATTTTTTCTGTTGGAATAGCTGCAGGAGTTTATTTCCATAGGATTTTCCGTTGGATTTTAGCTATTCCAACGGCCGTTTTTCCCACGAATTTTTATACGTAGGAATATCCGTTGGAATAGCTATTCCAACGGAAAATATAAAGAATTCCTACGGAAAATTTCCGTTGGAATGTATGAGTTTTTTTTTGTAGTGTGTCTTTATGTTGGAATTAACCTTACGCGAAAACATCGATTTATCCCATGAGCATTCATGTCAAATAATCGAGAATCAAACTAGACAGCGGAAGCGTACCATAAGTGGATTTATGGATCCGATCACCATGGAACATGACTTGAATCACGAACACATCATCCATCACGAACGTGGTTGGTTTTATGGTCTACCTCAACTAAATCGTCTTATTCATCAAATGGAACTGATGTCTTCAATTCAGATGGGGAGAAAAGAAAACTGGTTGATTTAATGTATTGGGGACCATAACCAATAGGGTCTTTATATACTACTAGGGTAGGCCATCCATTATCACCTAACCCTAATAATATTAGGTAACCACACAATTAGTCCATATCAATTTATGTAGCCCATGGACTCTACTTAATTTTGATCACTAATTGAGTCAATTAATTAACTGAATAGCTAATATAATTGTATATAATATATTTCTCGTAATTAGATTATAATAGAAAATTAAATATTAGCCCTGGTACCGATGATACTTACGACCATCTTCCCGAGGGGTCGTAAACCTTTTTCGAGATCCAGTTCCACCTTGGTATCCGCTTTCCCCTCAGTCCAGACATCATAGAAATATATAACTTGTTTGGCCTCCCCTTGAATCAGCTCCCTCCGAATTACATTCGCTTTATCACCACTTTTGTCATCCTCTCTCATGTCCGCCTAGGTCGATTCGGCCTAGATTTATTCCATTACTGCTATATGCCTTCCCAAACCTACGAGTTTTATCTAAAAAGTCGAAATGAGGCACATTTCATCTCCGATATCCCTTCTAGTTGCCCTAAGTAGAAACATAAGTTTGTCTATGTCGAGCCAGACACTTATTTCCCTTGGGAGTCTACACCTTGGCACAAGGAGCCTCCGTTCGAGCTCGAGAGTCCCCCCAAGATCCCCTCTTCGACCAGCGCATCACCGTCTGGAATTCTAGACCAGTCGCTTCCTGGACTCTTCTCAAATATGACAATATTTTGCATTTTTGTGGTTTTCTCAGCCATAAATCTTTGTCTTCTCCTACCCAAGAACCCCTCGATTCTATTCGAGTAGAGGGCGATAAAATTGTACATTAGATTGTATAGCATAGTATTGATAGTAACTCACACTGCATAATGCACAATATTGTTAGACAAAATAAAAATTAGTTGTAGATGGACTGCACATTACTAACAGACAAATTGCACCATAGCGATTGAAACCGACGAACTAAGATTTTGGGTCCGAATTTTATATTATAGTTTGATTATTTATTTTTACTTTTAAAATTTTGGTTAATTCGATTTGATATCTCATTTATTTTTTAAAATAAGCGGAC